CGGTGAATTTTCCACATCGAGACGAGAAGTCACTTTTACCAGTGAAGCGAGAGTCGATTCGTAGTTCTTCTTACTTTGTTTTTTATTATTTATTGATGTGCTTATTCTGTATCGAGCCAATGTCTAATGGATCTACGGTTGACATCGAGGGATATGGAGTCATGGGGGCTGTAGTATTGGAGGTGAGGATCATCTTTGGGGAAGATCTCATGACTATATGGGTAGTCACCAGCACTTAAAGGGCTATTGAGTTCCCGCGGTGGAGGGAGCTTCAGTGGAGAACCGAGTGGCGACGCTAGTGAATGGAGCTAGAGTTGGAGATCATGGCGACTGTTTAGGGACTTTGGTGCGATATGGGGTTTTCTCTAGGGGAATCTGGAAATGGTTTCAGATGGCGGAGATGAGGACTCATGCCGTTGTATTGATAACGAGCACTAGAGAAGGGCGTCAGGACGGTTGGGACTGATAGCCAATGGGAGAACGTGTTGCAGTCGTCATGGTCACACGACTACTAAGCGGGAGTGATTGCGACACCTGGGACGTGCGTGTGTTCCTCAGGTGTGTGTGTATGAGAGCGGTGCGAAACGCGTCTCAGTGTGGATGTAGCGAGACACCACACCCCCGCCCCTCCTTTTTGCCGCCCGTAAAAACCCCCGCTAAATTGATTGTGAAAAAAGAAATGATCAACTTATATTTGTATCGGGGTTGAACCCACCTCCTCCTCATCGTCTCTAAAAACCCACGCTGCATTTATTTCGAAAAAAAAAATTCATCAGCTTATATTTGTTTTGGTGCCCCCAAAGTTTTGGTGCGTTTGGCGAGGAAAACTCGCCGCTCTGGGGGAATGAGTGGGTTGAGTTGCAGGAGTGGTGTGTAAAGGAAATATGTAATTACTCACTATTAATCTGCAATCCCAGCACCATACAAGACGCCGTTCTCTTCTTCATAAAATTCATCCCTTTTCAATTGTTTCTAGAATTTCTAGCAGTTTTTGCCATTTTCGCAACATTAGACACGCGCCTTTCCGAACGTTCAATTCTCTCCTGGTCCCTCTCAGAAGCGAATGTGTTGGTCTGTAGACCTATCCTAATGTCCATTTGGTTCATGATCTGCAAAGTAGCGCCAAATCCTTCATTGAAGATACAGACTGCAAGATGTGTCGATATTTCTAAAACAGTTGTCCCCGAATGAATGTGCTTCGGAGAAAAAGTCCATATTAAAGAATTCAAACATTCCTTATTATTCTGTGTATTCGCCCCACCATCGCCAATACAGGTAGTATACTTGACGTTATATTTTTCCTCAGATTTTTTAAACATCTCAACGATTGGATCAACTTCCATTTTTCCTGCACTACCAGTGTGGTTGAGAGTACATTCTTCTTTATGCTCCTCCATCCAGTCATGAACTTCTTCTTGGGTGTCAAATTTATTTTTATTCAAATTACAGCACTGATAAAAACTTGATTTTACTTCAGCATCAAAAAGCTTGCCACTCAACTTGCCAATAATAGTTGAAACTCCGAAACGAGAACTGAAACCGCGTTTCTTCCAGGTGTCATCACCTGATACCGTCAATTCATCTTTTTCATCTTCCTTTGCTAATTCCTGTTCTTCTTGAACTGCTTTGCGTATTACTTTATCGTATATTGGTTTGCATGCGTCGGAAATGAGTTTCATACCTCGATAATATACTCACACCCCGCCCCATGTCCATTGTTCCACAGAAAAGATTAAAGCCCTTCAAAGCAATGCCCAGAAGTCGGAAAGCAAGAACCATGCGACGATTTATTTAATATGTTCGGTTACTGTAAGGCAAATATCGAATCGCACTTTGGCCACATTTGCAATGTAACAAAATTTTAAACCCCAAGCCATTGAGATCCCCTTTTCTAAATTCTATGTTTCCTTGACACTTCCTATAAACTACAAAACTACTGAGCGCAGTAAACATCATGGCGAAATTTATCAAACAGTTATCAACGTTTGAAATGGAGACTGTCAGAATCATTACCTGTTCTCAACTTTTCTGCTGATGCACTCTCTAGTGAACTTGTACTTGAGCTTGAAGCACGTTCTTTTCCACAATAGTATCGTTTTTTTCATCTCGATGGATTGACACGATTCGTACGGGATCCTTTTCTATCCATATTTCACTAACAGTCAACACTTCGCCTGAGAGTTCAAAATAGACTAACACCTTAGTCAAGACAATCCACCTCAGACAAATTTTGGGGAAACAGGTATGAAGTTGTGTCAAAATAAGACCGCCCTCGCCCCCGAGTTCGGGGATTTATCGGCCCCATCGGAGGGATCCTATTGTTGACTGGTGCAACGCTGGAACACCTGCCTATCTGTGCGCGCTCGGCTTCAAACCCCCGTATCTCGGGTATTTTTGTGAATTCCACAAAAATTCTTTTTGTAATAGATTTTTAAAGAAATAGGGAAAAATTAAATGTAAGAAAAAAAAATTGATTTTTTGAACCGTTTATTATTAGGTGTACTAATTAATAAGGTCCCCCTATATTTCGCAGTTTATAATTGCGTTCAAAAACTTAATATTTCAATATTTTGTAGTATTCAGTCACCGAAGCAGTAAATACTTCTTACATAACCTTAAAAAATAGTAGTAAACACGATGTCTGCCGATAAGCCACATTTGAAGCACTGCATTCTTTTTGCATTTCAATTAAAGAAAAATGCTACCGAGGCTACTCAAATGATTTATAGTGCTCTCGGAAAAAACGCTGTAACATATAAAACGTGTAAAAAGTGGTACCAGATGTTTAGAGACGGAGATTTCGATCTTTCGGATCGAGAACAGCCGGGTCAGCCGCAAAAATTCGGCGATGTAGAACTCGAACAACACTTGGCTGAAACTTTTGCTCAAAGCCAAACAGAGCTTGCACTACAACTCGGAGTGACTCGACAATGCATTTCTCATGGCCTACATCAACTTGGCAAAAGTCAAAAGGAGGATAGATGGGTTCTTCATGATCTGAGCCCCGAAAATAAGGAGCGATGACTGGAGACGGCGCTATCTCTGTTCACTCGATTTAAAAGAAGAGATTTCTTATACAAAATCGTTACGGGCGATGAAAAGTGGGTGTTATACGACAACCCTGAATGCAAAAAATCGTGGGTGAATCCCGGCGAACTATCGACGTCGACTCCGAAACCTAATGTCTATGCGAAGAGTGATGCTGAGTATCTGGTGGGATATGAAGGGTGTCATATATTATGAGCTATTTAAACCTGGCCAAACTGTTACTGCGAAGGGTTATCAACAACTGCTTATTCATTTGAATGATGCATTGGAGCAAAAGAGGCCATATACTGACAGCGGAAGTAGACAAGTGATTCTCCAACATGACAACGCTCAACCGCATGTCGTCAACGCGCCTAAGCATATTATCTGTGAATTAGGATGGGAGGTTCTCCCTCTCGCGGCTTACTCGCCTGATCTCGCCCCATCCGACTACTACCTATTTCGGTTTCTTCAACACCACCTAGCTGATGAGCACTTCAAAACAATCGACGAGATCCGAAAAAGCATCGATGAATTTATTGTGTCAAAACCGCCAAGTTCCTTTCGCGAAGGAATTCGTCAGTTGCCAGTGATGTGGAGTAAAGTCATCGAAAAAAATGGGGAATATTTCGAACGTTGAATGTCTGTTTGTTTTTCTATAATAAACTCTGATTTTCATGAAAAAAAAGCACCTTATTAATTTGTACACCTAATACATGAGCTGTCTAAAATTCAGTCACATTAGATTACTGAAAAACTGGGACATTTCTATCTTAAAAAATGGGACAAACGTATCTGAAATTTAGATACGTATTTTTATAGTGAGTGGGGACGCTGGTCCCCATTCCGCCTTAACGGTCATAGAGTGGGGATATTGAAATTCACCGTAGGGAGTTAATTTACATAGGGAAAATCTCAGCGCTTCCGCTAGGAAATACCAACAAATTTTTTTTTTGTTGATTCCTACTGTAAATTCAGCAGTCTTTCCACATTTTTTTGCGTATGAAAATACCTTATATAAAAAAATCATTAGATTTTGATTTTCTATAAAATACATCCTATTGCTTGTTTTCTTAAGGGAAGACTACAATGAGTTTTAAAATCCCCGGGCGACTGGAGTGAGATTGTTCATAGATTGACGATCGATTATGTATGTCTAAAAGCGAATAATTCGTGAGAAAAAATTAATTGTTTATTGCTCCTTTGCCTGGCAGACGCTTAAAAAATTGAAAATAGTCCGGGGCCTACCTTTTTAAGCTACAGAGGTTTTTTTTTCAAAATTTTTGAAAAAATGTGTACAATCGAGATACACGGTAGCGTATCGGCCAAGTACACGTTTTATACGACTCCAACCGAGAGCTACCAAGTATCTATACACCACACAACTTCCCCTGCCACTACCTCCAATCCATTTTTTTTATTAATAAATTTACCCGATCATTTAGACGAAAACTGGTCTTAGTTACATCATATAAATCGCATATCAGCTTTCCACTGATGCAATCATCGGTGTAATTAGTTGAATATTAACGAAGATATGCACATAGCAACGAGCTATCATGCACATTTCTCGCGTTTCGATTATCTCGAATAACTAACGGGTTACACTTGAGCCACTGAGTTGGCAGCGCGACTCGAATTCTCATTTTTCGCGTTCAGCGATTGCCAACGGTGTAGTGTAATACACGGGTGCAATCGTCGCTGAATTATACTATATCTCGATCATGCGATATCGTGATTGGCCATTGGCTAGTAAATATGGCGGTGATCTAGGGACCCTACGCAACACTATACATTAATCTCGTGCAGTGAAGTGTTGGCATAGACGTAGTATAATACCTAGACTGCGCATGTGAGAGGCAAGCTGTCTACGTTTAGCCAGAGAGAGAAACAAAACCGGTCCCAACCTATCCTTGTTCAGCACCACCTATATTCAGTATACCTATAGTTCAGTGCTTTCAATTCATCAACATGGCCGACAACGACGCCAACAACCCAGCTCTGGCATTTGCCCACGATGACGACGATCTGGTAAGTTTCTAAATATTAATTAATGTATTAAATTATCCACGTTAATATTGGGAGCAGATTCGGTCATCTGCTTTGTTTATTGGACATGTTTTTAGGGGGGGAATTCACTTTGTATTCGACCATGATTTTTGAGGTTTGTTTGTTAGAATGTGAGAGGGAAAATTGCGTGAATTATTTCCGAAAAATCGTAAAAAAATAAAATATCGGTCTTAAATTGATAAAATAAAATAAATAACTGCNGCTCTGGCATTTGCCCACGATGACGACGATCTGGTAAGTTTCTAAATATTAATTAATGTATTAAATTATCCACGTTAATATTGGGAGCAGATTCGGTCATCTGCTTCGTTTATTGGACATGTTTTTAGGGGGGGAATTCACTTTGTATTCGACCATGATTTTTGAGGTTTGTTTGTTAGAATGTGAAAGGGAAAATTGCGTGAATTATTTCCGAAAAATCGTAAAAAAATAAAATATCGGTCTTAAATTGATAAAATGAAATAAATAACTGTGGGGATTAATAATTTAAGAGTGAAGTTCAGTGTGAAATCGTGTATCAGGATGAGTTGATTCGATTGGAAATTAGTTTTTGATGAATAATCTCTGAATCGACACGAGATAGTGAAATTTTTCTCAAAATATTTTTTGTAGATCTCATTTCATTCTACAAAAAATGCTTTATCAAAAAATATGCCATCTCGTCCATATTCTGAGATATTCTCCAAAGACTGATCTCTAATCACCATCAACTCATCCTGTTTTTCCACCTAGATAGTAAACATAACCTCCAAGCTTCCAAGACTTCTGCTAACAAAATCATTAAAGATATTTTCATTACACCATTTAGATATTGAAATTCAGTAGAGAAGTGATTAATGAGCGTAAGTTCAACCCCAGGCTGAGTTTTTAATGAATAATCTTCATTAGATTTGCAGATATCCATCAAAAACACAGCCTGGAATTAAACTTACGCTCGTTCATGACGTCGTTATTGAATTTTAATATTTGAATATTGTAATGAAAATATCTTTTATGATGAATGATTTTGTTTGACGAATATCTTGGAATCTGAATGAGATTGCGAAATTTTTGTAAAGACCTTGTTTGAGATTGAAGCTAAATTGAGATGCCGGTTGGGGAAAAGTGGGATTGTGAAAGGAGGTGGAAAATTAAAACACGCGGAATTATAAAACCACACTGTTGATGTACTTTGTTGTGGAATAACCCACGCATCTTGATAAATTAATAATGTTACACTATTGAGTTGCTCGACAAAGTCAATAAAAATGATGGTTTGAAAAATGCACTGCACTTGAGATTCTCTCGATATTGAACTTGATGATTGACTCAAAATAATCGATAGTTAACTCGGAATTAATTGATAATTGAATTGAATTAAATAGAGACGCTATACAAAGCGCTAGACTCAAATGTACCGCGTTGATGTACTCCGGTGATGTACTCGATTGAGCGGTTACGGCGATACAGTACTGTCATTAGAGTGACTCTCTCGGTGGCTAGAGCGATACTACTTCTTTTTCGGCGATTTTCTTCGTAGCTGACCGTGATCCCGACGGGTTCCGAAGTTTCTCGAGAATTTCGTTGAGCCCGGTGACCGTTTGACTAGTTTGAATAGCTGAATTTCAAACAGACCTTTTTTGTAGAACAGAATGAGATCTACAAAAAAGATTTTGCTAATAATTTCGCTATCTCCTTTAGATTCAGAGATAAAGTGTTGAAACAAAATTTTATTCATTTTTTCTTTTTCAGAGATTCCTGGGCCAGCGTCCACCACCATCTCCACCCCCACTTCCAACTTTGCCACCGCGACGCCAGCCTTCGCCACCACCAGAGCCAAGGGACCAAGAGAACCCTGTCCCACATCATCATCCAGACCCTAATGTTCTGCTTCACCACCTGGAGCAGCTTGGTCGACAGATTGCTGATCTGCAGAGGCAGGTGCATCTCGATCGACGCAATGCTGCTCAACTGGCTGAGGATCCTCAGGAGCCTGCTCCAAGAGGGAGGGGCAGAGGTGCTTCTAGGGGCAGGCGCAGAGCCGGGAGATTCTTGGGGGAGAGAAACGCTCGGTATGGGCCCTATTTTCTACTCAAATATCATGGAATCTAAGGGAGATAGCTCGATTTTTATAAGGACTATTTTTGTAGTTCTATTTCTGTTCTACGAATAAGGTTCTTATAAAAATTTCGCTATCTCTTCTAGATTCAGAGATATCATCACAAAATCATCTTCACTTTGAGGTTATTTTTTGATTGATGATATCTCTAAATCTAAGGGAGATGGCAACATTTTTCTAAGGACAATTTTTGTAGATCTAGTCCTGTTCTACAGAAAAGGTCCTTATAAGAATTCCGCTATCCCGCTGTGATTTAGAGATATCATAAAAAAATGACTGAATCTAAGGGAGATGGCGGAATTCTTATCGTATCTAATTCTAATCTTCTTCCCTCTAGCTACTGGAGGGGACGTTATTATCAAACCAGGTCTCCTCGTGGAGGAGGAGGGGCTTCCTTCAACTTCGTTTATAGAGATTAATTAACTCTTCTCTCTCCTTCTACGGTCCCTATCTCACTCACTTCTTCGGTCCTCATGGTGAGTTTACGTTTATTTTTCTCAATACCAATGAGTTAGTTGGGATCATAATAATGACTAATAATAATTCCTTTTTCTGTTACAGATTCCTGTTCTTCAATACTCAAAATATAAGATAAAAAGTACAAATTAAACTGACTAGTTTATGTGGACTGTGACTCGTACGTGACTAGTTTTATCTTAGCTTTGAAGTAAAAATAAAAATGTGATATAAAATAATATAAAATATTATCATACAAAATATTTCTTATGATTGAACAAGAAAAAATGTGAATTAATCTATGTAGAGTCTAAAACCTAACTTGGTTGAAAGTTTATTCTAAAAAAAACTTTAAAAAATAGGAACATGTGATTTAACATGTGAAGTCTGTTAAACATAAAATATGAAATAGTCTATGTAGAGTCTAAAACGTAACTTTGTTAAAATATTATTTTAAGAAAAACTTTAAAAAATAGGAACATGTGATTTAAAATGTGAAGTATGTTAAACATAAAATATGAATTACTATTTAAGTAATTAAGAACATAATGTGTTCAATGAAAAATGAAGACTAAAAGAAGTTCGTGCAGATTTTCGGAAATAAAACAATGGACCTCGTAAAATCTCTCGTCAAATAATTCCTCTGCGTCCCTTGTTCCCATTGTCTTCTTCTTCTTCTTATTATCTTCTTATCTCCTTTTTCATCTTTTATAATCTTCTTTTTCTTCTTATCTTCTTCTTACATAATAAAAACGACTGAATGGATTTCAATGAAATTTTCACTGTTAATTAGTTTAGGGTCCCCTTTATAACATAGGCTATAATTTATTGCGCTGCGTTGGATTTTTCAGTATGCAACGTAGGAACTTCTAGAAAATTGTAGAACCTTCTGGAAAAAACTAGAAAATTCTCGAGTTTTTGAAAAAAATCGAGGATTTTCTTGAAAGTTCGAGAATATTCGGGGATTTTCTAAGAAAACTTAGAAAATTCATGGCTTGTTCGGAAAGTTCGAGAAATTCGGTGGTTTTATAGACAAGTTGAAAAATTCGGGGGTTTTAACAAAAAATTGAGAAAATTCACGAATTTTCGAGAAAGTTCGAGAAAATTCGGGGGTTTTATCGAAAAATTGGGAAAATTCACGGATTTTCGAGAAAATTCGGGAGTTTTACACAAAAATTGAGAAGATTTGCAGCGTCAGATGGCGCTGTAAATTGATTTCAGAATCGACTGGACTCTTGATTGACGATTCACGTGTCGTGCAGTGTTGTGTGATACTTCAGTTGGTTATGTTAGAGTAAGACTTTTGTAAATAAATGAGAAAAAAATGATTATTTCAGTTAATTATGTCGACTCAAGAAATATTGATCGGTTTTTCTCGTATTTATGTATTGTGTTTTCATTGCAGGTGATCTGGTTACGTTTTCTATCCCCAGCCGAGGTGTTTAAGGTTTCTAACCTATATTTTTTATTTACTATCTTTCTTTTCTTCATCAGTAGTATCTTTCTCCTCGAATTCTGCCTTTGACCGTTCCATTCTTTCAGTTTTCTCTCATCAAATCTCGTACTATTTCATATTTTTCCTCTTAATTCTTCCTTCAGTTTTCTTTTTTTTCTCATCTTTCTTACTTTCCTGTTTTCATTTAATTTATTATTTTATTTTATTTTATTATTTATTTGTTATTTTATTTCTGGCAGTTTCTTCCCAAAGAGCAACTCCTGCCTTTTTTTCTCAACTCTCAGCTCTTTCTTAGCTCTTCTAGCTCTTGTCAGCTTTCAATCAGCTGTACAGTTTGTTCAGCTATTTTGCAGCTGTGTTGTTGACATATTCAGCTCCTCTTAGCTGTTGTTCCCCTGATTTTCAGCCCTTCACAAGCTGTGTTTTCAGCTTCTCTAAGCTGTTATCATTTCTTATTCAGCTTTCGTAAGCTGTCTCCCTCAGCTCATTGAAGCTGTTGCTATAACATCTTCAACTCATTCACAAGCTGTGTTTATCAATTCATTAGACGTTAATGTTTGGCAGTATTATTGTTAAGTGTGTAGAATTTCATTCACCAAGAGTGACTAAATAAATTGAATAAATTGGATAAATTTTGAGACTTAATTGTTTTAGTTTATTTAATCATGCCTTTGTTCAATCGCAATTGAATATTAACAAGGGGGCGAGAAGGTTGGTTATCTGATGATGAGATTGACTACTTTGCGCAATTACTACATCAACAATTTCAATTCGAATTCCGAGAATCTTGGAAATTGCAGCTGCCGGGTTTTATGGAACCGATCAATCCCTGTAAGAATCATGTACATTTGTTGCATAGTATGAGTGGAAATTTTTCAGATAAAGACGTTGGAGAAATGCGTAATGGACACTGGATTTGTACATGTTATGACGGGAATTCTATCTATATTGATGATTCTGATAATAGACGCAAACTCGATCCTAAACATATTGAATATTTGAAAGCCCTATACCCATTCTATCCAATTGATATACTGGGCGTGAAGTTCTGTAAAGTTCAACAACAGCAAAATATGTATGACTGTGGGCTTTTTGCAATAGCTTTTGCCGTGTCGATTGCGTTTCGGGAAGACCGTGGAACAATAACATATGATGCATTGAAAATGCGAGAGCATTTATTGCACATCTTCGATAGTGGGAAAATCTCTGAGTTCCCACTTCTCAGAAATTCTTCGGTGCAAGTTCAGGCCACACCAAAAAACCCACCAATCTCCACTCATCAAGAAATGGAATTCGAATCACTTCTAGAAGAAGATAAAGAGAATCTGCAAGCCAATGACCAGCAAACCATCGTAAAGAATCATCAGAATCTTCCGCAGTATATCGACCAAAGTCAGACCGCTGACGGTCGATTGCAAGGAGATAAGAATTAATCACACGCGATGGAGGTTGATGATGACAATAATGCGGGCGATGGGCGTTTCATTGGAGAATCTCAATCTAAACGCGTTTTCAATGAAACATCATTTGAACAGTCCAAAGACAAAGAACCCCCAATCAAAAAACGTCGCCGGACCACAAAGGGCTGCGGGGTGCAGGTTTCGGCATTTGGTCTCGAGTGGATAGAGATAATTCGTAGATGGGAACAACTCAAAAGTCAACACATGGAATTTTTTGGAAAGTTATTATTAAATGATTCCGATTATTGTCATCAAGATACATTATTCTTGCAGAGGCCCGAGCGAATTGTATCCATACCTCTTGCGAAGAAAAATATTCAGATTCTATATAGTAATGATAATGAACAGAAAGGAGAGTATGGACATTGGGTGTGTTCTTTCTATGATGGTAGGAATATTTTCATTTATGACTCATTAAATAGGCGCTCATTACATGACGATCACAAAAAATTTCTGCGCGCTCTTTATCCCTTCTTTAGTATCTCGGATAATTCTGTACGATTCATATCAGTACAAAACCAATTGAATCATGTTGACTGTGGTGTGTTTGCCGTAGCGTTTGCAGTATCGTTATTGTTTAGGGAAAAACCGGAGTATATCAGATATGATTACTCACTGATGCGTGAATACCTGATCAATATGTTTCAGGCAATGAAGATCACCCAATTTCCTCATACCTCCAATTCCAATCCACCGACACTCTTATCGCTACATCAAATTCAACAAAAAGAACGAAAGGCATATCAAGTACGTTGCTGTAGGGACAAAAAGGCTTCAAAAATTACCGATTGTGTTGAGAGCGTAAAGGCGGAGAAGCTATCTTCATCTTCACATATAGATGAAAAGAGAATAAATGATTTAAACGAATACTCTACACAGAGTCAGTTCGTCATGCCATGTGAAGAGATAGGTTCTCAGTCATTGCTGCATGATTTGAATAGGAATAGAGCTAAAGAGATTGCCGAACCTGCTACAGTTGAGAAGAATGATAATTCTCTAAGAGAAGATTCGAGCAAAGAAGAACGCAGAAATCTCACCGATTTAAAGCCAAGAAAAGTTGCATTCAAAGAAAAGCACAGGAAAGTGTCTGAAAAAACCAACAAAAAATCTCCAACTTCATTCATCGTGAAGAAAGGTACTTGTACGGATCGTAAAGCGAAGCCGGAAACAATTCCAACTAAAGTCTGTCCTGAGCAATACCTAGAAGAATTGACAAAGGTAATCAGCAAAATTGACGGAACTGTTCACGCTGAAAGTAAACTAGAAGCTCAAAAGATAGTAAAATGGTGTGTGGAACAACGAAAAAATTACTTGAAAGATTTGAATCGTTGGGCGGATACACTTCGAAAAAATGCAGACTATCATCTTACTGAGAGGAATGGTAATAAAAATGGAAATAAACTAGTTGATCTTTGTGGAAAATCGAGGCATACAGGATCGACAGAATCCTTCTTTTCCGAAATGATATACGTATTTGAGATCCCTAAGGAATTCAAAATTGAAATGAATTCGAAAGGACACGCAATGAATATATTACCCCTGGTGAGAAATAGAAGAAAATATATACAATGGATATGCAATGAGTATTGTAAAGTAAAGCCGGATGAAAGCTTACTAGGAGATTACCAAAAGTTTCTCGAAACTTTGGCAGTGCAAAAAATCCATACTTTCCCAGAATTTTTGAAACGTTGTTTTCCAAAACATTCAGAAGACAAGTTAGGACATCCGGTCCATTGTTACCTTGAACAAAATCCATGTGACTCATTATTGTCTTCTTCGGAGATGCTATCATCTCACTTTCCAAGCGTGAGAAATGTTAAAAGACTCTTGTATAAACTCGATGAAACATTCAAAAAGGTAGAAGATTTGGATGACGCTTTGGATTCAATGAACCTAGCTAAATTGAGACAGATCTCGAATGAGATAAAAAGATCAGGCCAATCCTTTGACACACGTTCGACAGGAATCGATGATTTAAATGAAGATGAAATACAGTCAAAGTATAAAAGTGCTTTCCTAGCCATGAACGAACGAGGTATGGCTGAATACGCTTGTATATCGTGCCAAAAATTGCATCCAAAAAGTTCCGTTAGAAGGATTAATAGATTACATAGTCCAATCCCATCGAAGTATTGGGAAGACTTACAGAATTTTGTGAAGGAGCATACATCTTTCTCGAGCGACTATATATGTGATTATTGTTTAGGGAAATTGCGTAAAACTAAATTACCACCAACTTGTATATTGAATCATACTAATGTTGGTGATGTTCCAGATGAAATGAAAAATTTGAATGATTACGAGAAAATACTCATCCAGAGAGTGAAGGTATTTCAAATTGTGCAAAGAGCGGGAACCATTCAAAAAAGAAACATACCACATTTCATCCGAGTCCAGAAATTGGTGGGACAAACATTTCACTTACCGTTACCAATTTCAGAAACTCTGGAGAAAATAGCTTCAACAACTGATTCTATTAATAAAGATCACCAACTGTACATTTTGATTCGAGGAATCCCTAACAAAGCTAAGGTCATTTGGCAAAACCTAGTCAATCTGGAGAAGGTATTCACAGCCCTCAAATGTTTGCAACGTAATAATCCACTCTATGCGAATATTAAACTGCCTGAATCAGCTCAAAATTTGATGGAATTGTTAATAGCTGATGATGTTGAGTATCCAATT